ACCCGGAACAGCGGCCCGCCCCGGTGGGGGGGGGAGAGGGAGGGGTGGGGCGGCGAGGCAGCCAATAGGCTCCGAGGATGTTTCCCGGAGGGCGAAGCCGCCGCCGCCGCCGCCCCTCCTCCTCCGCGCCGCTCCGGCTGGGGGCTCGCCGGGCGGGAGAGTTTCGGTAGCCGGGCGGGAGATGCCGCGCGGGCTCCTTCTCCTCACAGGTAACGCCGCGGGGAGGGGGGGCGGGCTGGGAGGACGGCTTGGCCTCGCCCTCGCCCCGCTTGCTGGCCAAGGAGCGCTGGCGGAACTGGCCCGCACGGCGCGGCGGTGGGGGCTGAGGGCCGGGGCGGGACGGGACGGGACTCGCCACACACACACACACACACCCCCCCCCCGGCTCGGCGGGGCCGCCGCCAGGACAAAAGGGGAGCGGTGAGTGAGGCAGGGGCCACCGCGAAACTCCCGGCGGGGTTCGCCCGCCCCGCAGCCTCGCCCTTGTTTTCCCGGGCGGGTTCCTTCCCCGGTACCGGCCGGCCGGGACGCCCTCAAGTTTGCGGGGCTCCCCGTAACGACCGCTGTGACCCTTGGTGCCCGCGGCGCCGGCTCTCTCCGGTGGGACACAGGGTGCCGGAGCCGTGCCCCCCTCACACACCACCACCCCTCTCCGGGGGGGGTGTCCGCGGTGGGTCGGTACCGGGCGGTGTGTGTGGGGGGGGGGGCAAGTCTGTGGGCCGGTCGGTAAGGGGAGAGAGAGCCCTCCGGGGGGTGGCGGTCCCTCGGGGGTGCTCAGCCCCCCTGGGCGGTTAACGAGTTGCCCGGGTCAGGCAGCCCCCCCACACCCACCCACCCCCGGACTGGCCTGCTCAGGAGATGTGCATCGGATAAGCAGAACGGGCGTAATGGGAGAAACTTTCGAGGCAAAATGAATTTTGAGTAGGTCGAACGTTTTAACTGGGTAGCGGGCATTGCTGCTGTATCGGTGCTGTTACGAGCGACGCCGTACGCTTCCTTCTGATTAACAGCCTTGCTTTTTAGTCTTTGTTTTCGTCAAACTAGGAGCGCAAGGATGAGTTACTGCGAGGAAGGGTTTTGCTCGGAAAGTGGCTGGTCTGCTTTGCTCTGCTGAGGAGCTCCATTCTCTCTCAGGTTGTGCAGCTCCGTGTTACTGACTTGATCTGAATTTGGGAGCACCGCTCTGTAGTCCCCAAAGCGAGAAGGGGCACTGGTGTGACAGGGAGTACTGCCTGTACGTGTGCATGTGTGTGTACAGGGATTGGGAATACGTGGAGACTGGAATTTAGCGTTGCAAACGGAAAGCTACAAAGCAATTGCCTTAGCAGCTCTATTGGTCAGGTCTGTTGAAGAAGCCGCATGACTGGAGCTTTTTCCTAGATTGTATGAAGACATTAAATGCGATATTTTCAGGGGTGCAGCCGTTGATTTAAGAAGCCAATAAATAAGAAGAAAGTGTGAAGCTGGGCTACTATATGTGCCTATCATTCTGGGGGCTTACAAATAAAAACTTTGTATTCTGCCCTGCTTTTACTGTAGTTTTCCATTTGTAACCTCCTCCCCCTGCCATTTATAGCAGCACTTGATAATAAGACCACTCACAATACTGTCAGAGCACCAGAGAAGCAGAGGCAGAATTGCTGTCCAGGCAGAGGGCTGGCTTTGGAGCATCAGAAGAGACCCCTCCAAGTAAAGGTGGCTCATGGGTAAACTTCTAGCCTTGGTACCTCCACACCGATGTATCACTCCGTGCTGTTGGATTGCATGGCCTTTTTCATCTACCTCAACAACCTCATAAGCCCATGAATAGAGCAGTGGAATTTAGGCTATACTGTGCTTGCAGTGTGAAGAATGACCTAGTGAACACTACTTTGGTCTTAACTGTATGCGTCTTGTTGTCTCATTGTTTGAATTGTTGAGATTTAGGGCCTAGTCCATTAACTGCTGCCTGTATATGTCTACCTGTGATGTTTGTATGAATTCCCTATGTGGGCTATATGTAAGACTAGATCCTTTAATTCGATTAACAGAAGAGAGTTCAGCTCTTTCTGCAATTGATAATGTTTGTTTTTCACACTCAGAAGGAAATTATAGTGCTTATCGTTCTCTTAATAACTTTATAAATGCTCCACAGTCCCAATGGTGCCCCTGTTTGTTACACTTGAAAAGAATAGTAGGAAACAGAAAAACAGTGATTTGCTCAAGGTTTTAGAAATTACCAGTGCCAACGCTTTAACTTAGAATCTGATAATTTCTTGGCTTTACCCTTTTGCTCCGACCACGAGAAACTGTGCCTTTCTTCCACATTTGAAGTACAAAATTATGTTTAGATATGTTCCAGTAATTATGAAATGCATGAGAGAAAAAAATGATAGGTTGTATGAAACTTCATTCTCCTCTCCCAACACAACTCTCCATTTTTTAAATTCTTTTTTAGTGAAGTGCAACTATAACTGTGCATTTGTGTGTTTTTCTTTCAGATCTGCAACCAACATAATGCTGAAGCTCCCAACGCGGAACAAGCATTTCACAGAATGGCACAAACGGAACCTAATCTGGACCATGACGTATCATGGTTCCTGCTTCCGTCATACTGGGCTAAAATGGTTGTGGCATTAATGTCCTTCCTCTGTTTTGCTAACAGCTATGATGGAGATTTTGTCTTTGATGATTCTGAAGCCATCATCAATAATAAGGTTTGTCTCTCTTCTTCCCCCCCCATCCTTTGACATAAATGGTCATAGGAAAAGAAATAATGAGAGTTGATCCAAGTAAGCCCAAAATAGTCATCCTAGTGAAGAGCTTCCTTCTGATGTTCCTCTTTTTGAACTTCATTTTTCTGTTTTGTTTTATTGGTTTTTTTAAAGTAAGCCTTATTTAAGGTTGACAAACAAGCTGTGCAGCAGTACTCTACCAAAAAGCTAGAAGCATAAGTATGCTTAACAGAATCTTATTCCTAAAGCTATTTAAATAACATGACTTGGGTGCTAATACATAAACAAGAGAGTGAACAAATTAAACAGCTTTTTTTTTTTTTTTCTCTTCAGAATGTGTCCCTTTCCATTCTTTTGCAACTGAGATGCTCTGCTTAACAAGTGTTGATATGTGGTCGAGGGGAAGGGAGCTCTTTTTGCCATACCAAATGGACTTTGTCTGCTTGTCATCTAAGAAAGCATTATCTAGGGTTGCAGCAAATTTGGGTGTGGTGTTTAGTAACACTTATTCACAGGGTACCTGTACATCAAGACTGTCTATAGATTTAATGTTATGCTCATTTCTAAGTCAGTGAGAGTATGCAGTAGACTTCTCTAATACCCGTTGATGTTAATAGGAGATTTTTTCATTATCTTCTCAGGGTGACAGATGAATAAGCCCAATGAATAAACTTACTCTGCTTCCAAGATACATAATGCATAACTAAGCGATTGTAGGGTGCAGGGGTTCTCCAGCTGTGGCTTATACCGTGCAAATGTTACAGGAGCAAGGAAAGCTTCCTTTTCCTATGTGACTTCCCCACTTAAAAGTTCCTGTGACAACAGTATTTTTTTGAAATAGATGCAGAGTATTCTTGTGCTGTATTTAAAAACTTGATCATACATGCAATGAACAGTCCTTGAAATGCTTAGAAATTAACATGTGACTCAAACCTCTAGCTGAGATTCTTCTGACTTTGAGGAGTTGAGTGTCTTTAATTGCTGACACACTTCATAGAATCACATGTAGCAGTTAGTGAGCCTGTGCTCATGGGTGGGTCTTGGTGTTACAGCTCTTATGCTGTTCTAGAAGATACTTAAGTGTTTGGAAAGAGAAGAACAGGGTAAAAAGAATTGCCCCCATCTGTTGGTTCTGTTTTCCTGAAGCCATGGGGTTACAAGGAGGGTAATCTGGAGACTCGTACTGCTAGAAGAACACCACTCACTTTTTTTGCCTTGCACAAGACTTAGAGGCAACTTACCGCAATGTGCCTTTTAGAATCCCACAGAATTACTGTTTCCTCAGACAAATTTGGATTATGCTTGTGTAAGTCATCATATCTTGAGTTATAAATGGGGAGGGGAGTGAATACATCTGCCAAATTGGAAATAAATCTCAAAGCTTCTAAGAGAATACTATAGACAAATTAAGAACCTACAGTGATTTTTTTTTTTTTTTAATTTTTTTTTTTAAGAAGCATTATATTTTAAGTTACACAGCTCCTGGCAATATTTCATTCTGCAAAGTTTTATTTGGGGCACAATTATAATAACCTCCTGAAAGAATGAACAAAAGACTGATGTTGAAACAAGGCAGGCTGTTTTGTTCATGTGCAATTGCCACACTTGTAATCTTTCTTCATTTCTTTCAGTCTTTACTTTCAAAATGTTTCAATTTATCTAGACAATACAACAACCTGCACCAGGATTGTAGCTGTTGGCAATGCTGAGAAATTCAGCCAACTGCTTAAATAGATTAATTCATACCTGCTCTGCATGTTTGTAAAACTGTGAGGCTTAACTTTATTTTGCACATCAAAATCCTCTATTATTCCCTAGAAATTAAATGAGTTTTTTGTGACAGTATCATTTTAACACAGGGGTCGTGTGGATTTTTTTATTCCTGTATATTCATAAGAAAAATGCAGAGACAGAGTTTACCAGTTTAATGGGGAGGGAGAGCATCTAGCAAAGGCACAGTTTATTAAAGTGTAGCGTATTTTATTCCTATTCAATAGGAGAGACAGCAGGTGAAGTAATTTTGTAGATTTACTGAGCATTACTATACCAGTATTTTCTGGGGTACCACACAGTGACCTTTTTGTTAATTTACTAGCTTCCCCCCACCTCATCCCAATCTTTCAATATTTTATTTATTTATTTATTTAGCGAAAGATACATTGTTAGTTGACACCATGCCTACTGTATTGTGGAACATTCTGTTATTAGATTTTATTGGGGTTCAAGGCTGTTTTCCACATGCTTTATTGTCATTTTAAGCAGCATTTTAACTGGTACACAACAGTGACTTTTTATTTATTTACTGGCTTGGCAAGACAAGCAGTTGGATTAGGAGGAGCTTCAGACACAATGTCATTTCCATAAGCCTTTATATAGAAAAACTGACCTTTCTTAAAGTTTTGAACTCTGCTGTCTGTAATCTGCTGCTAATCAAATATTTAGATATTCTTTGATATCTACTTTCAGTTCTTGAAGAGAAAATCATAAATAACTTTTAAACAGCTGTGTCTCTTAGAGCAAACCATTCCTGTTTTAGGGTAAGTCCACTGAGTAGGAAAATTAATGTAAGAAACTTTTTCTCACAGAACTTGGATACAAGAGCAAGATACGTGACTGAAGGTCTTTTAGGTCATATGGAAGTATAATCTAATCACTCAATAATTCCAGGTATTTAGTTTTTCCTGCATTCTTCCTATGGAAGACAAAAGAAGACTGATTTTAGTGGGAAGGGAAGTCTAGCCTTGCACATCTCAATATATTTCCCATCTCAAGTTATTGAAGACCATCTGTTACATAGAAGATACAATTTTAAAATTTTAATACTAAAAAAAAAGTCTCTCTTTCATAGTCCCTTTCTTTGGCAAATGTACATAAGGAGCAGTGCTGTTGGTTGGAAAAACAGTCTGAGGGTCACAACACCCACTAACAGCTGTCCCCTGCAGAGTACAAAGACTTCAATAGATGTTGGTGTACAACCCAGTCCCAACTTGCCCCTGGAAAAGCAAGCTATATTGATTTAGTGGGCTGCTGGTTGAGTGCACTCCTGCTCTGAGAGTCAAATTATGACCTTTAGGGTTTGTGCATACCAGTGAGGAATGGAACCGGAATTTAGGTGCCTAAGGCCAAAATTGGAGTCCTGGGAGAAGAAAGACATTTGTAGCTCTTGCTTGGCCGTAGAAATATCTGTGAGAGAGTGAAGAAATTTTGCACCTTGATAATTATTAAGCCCAAATAGGATCCCCCATGAGTCTTGATTTCTTAAGACTTTTCTCTGAGAATGCCTTAATTGACAGCTGCAGTATAGGACTTTTCAAAGACTACGGTGTTAGCCCTGCTCTCTTTTCTGTGTATTGATTAGTAACCTGTTAGAGCATGCTTCACTTCATTTGACAGTGTGATAGGATTTTTAGCCTGCTTCCCCTTCCTGATTTTTTATTATCTTTTTTTTTAACCAGTTGTCTAATACTGGCCAAGTTTGATTAAGTGATAGAAAGAAATCTCTTCCTGCATTTTTTTTGATGGATGAAAGTCAGAATGTGTTAAGAGGGAAGCAAGAAAAATTAAGTTATTTTAAGTTCAGTTTCACAGCAGCCAGTCAGCGTGGCCCAGACATTTGGCTGTAGCTTGTCAGGCCAAAAATGCTAGCTAAGAATGAGATGGAAGGTACTGGAGACCACAGGAGGTGCTCAAGATACTGTAGAAGCAAGTGAGATGGTAGCAGCATTTGAGAGGAACTGGAGTTAGTGAACCAAGGGTATTGTAATGTGGGAATCTTATAAGTAGATGGAGATATGGGAGGAATAAGACATAGAACACTAGGCTTTGTAAGGCTTTTCATGGATTTAGCAACCCGGTTTATCTGCTTACTTGTGTTTGTATTGGCTTGTTAATTTGCTTTGGTTCGTTGGTCTCTTGAACAATTTCAGGGTAGAAGGTGGGGGTAGAGTAACTTGTGGTTGATTGCAGGTGTAATACCAGCATTTGTATGAAAGCTATTCATTTTCTAGTACAATTTTGTTCTTAGCTTCTGTCTTAAGTGTATTTAACCTGCACATTTGCCATAGCATAAATTGGTATTTAATTGCCCCAGGGGAGCAGGGGAAGAGGGGCAAGTAGAAGATGAATATGTTAGTTTGAGCTTCCCAGCTTGTCGTCACAGAAAACTGAGATGGGTGCTACCAAGGTCCTTTTTTTTGGTTTGGTTTTTTTTTTTTTTCAGCACCAAAGTGTATGTTTTCCCTTCAACAGTCTAGGTTATTTGGATTTTTTCATTATCAGCATGGCTTTAAGATAAAAGGAAAGAGTCGACTTTTCCTTTGCAGTGTTTTTTAATATTGCCCTACCCCACCTGAAATTAAAATAATGCATTACTTTTCTGTCTTCCCCTATTAATCTTTTAGAGCAGTATATAGAGATATTGATTCTTGGTTTCATGTATTAAGAATTTAAAAAAAAAAAAAAAGCTATTTGAATAGTGTCCTTGTGAAGTAAGGCTTCAAAAACAGCTAATTGTTTTTTTTCTATCTTTAGTCTCCTTGCTTTCATGCTTTCATTAGTAGTTGTGCTACTGACACTGGTAGAAAAATAGCTATTTGTAGCAGTTTGTAGTTGATCTCCTTCACAAGATAACCTAGACCTAAAATCAAAGACTTTTTCCAAAACTATAAGGTAAAGGGGTTTTTTATGTGTTTCATATCTCAGCCATTGACCAGGTCATCAACTAATATGAATACGCATATCTCTAGTAAATTCCATGTAGTTATGCCTACTTACAGAATCCAAGCATCTTGGCCTTTATGACAATAGGCACTGAAGATGTAACCTTCATTGCAAATTTGGGTACCTTGTGAGATGTCCGTAGTGAGCCAACAAAACACCTGCTATGTCTGTGTTGGCATGAGCTAGTATTAGTTACAACTTGTTTGTGGTTTAGCTGCTTTGAACAAAACAGAAATGTTAAGAACCTGGTAATTTATGATGTTTCCTTTCAGGACCTCAGGGCAGAAACCCCACTTGGTGACCTGTGGCATCATGACTTTTGGGGTAGCAAACTCAGCAGCAATACCAGTCATAAGTCATATCGACCACTAACTGTCCTAACTTTCAGGTGAGACTTGTCTTTTTGCTTGAGGTCTGAATTTTTTTAACATATATTGGCTCAATTGATTATAGGGAGGAGGCAACAGAAAAGGAGAGAGACAAAATATTTGGAGGGTAGCTGGATGTCTTTCCTGAACATGATTTTCCTGTTCACTACCTCAATCTCAAATTGAGTTTTAATTTTCAAATTGCTTCTTTCCCAAAGTATACATTATTTTGACATTCTGTATTTCAGTGTACCTTTCAGAGATTGCATCTTATGGTTTCATATACCTTGGTACTAGGGGAAGTATGGTTCGGTATGTAGGTCCCGTCATCAAAGAACTAGGAGGTGTACGTTCCCATTACTTAGCCACACTGCCACTTATACTGCTATTGTAGTTTCTATTCTCTGCTTTCCTGGTGACCTGTCAAATGATTTTTTTATAAATAGCATCAATCTCCTGTGGCCTTTTGCCACTAGGTCACTGAATAATCTTCCCACCTCTTCCCCCCTGATATTCTAACTTCAAATGAGTGTTTGTGTCCGAGAATCCTAGTGAGAGAGATGTCTGCCTGTATATATGACTTGCTGGTTTTCTCAAATAACTAGAAGTTTATGAGGATTACTTCTGTAGATGCTTAGCTCATGGTTTTTTTGCACAAAGGTTTGAGCAAGTAGTAGACCATGTATGAATTGGGCACAGTAATGCAGAGAATCTTTGAGGACTCAGTCTTAAGCTTCTTTATTTTCCTTGTGCAAGTCAGTGTTGTGGATGGGCACCTGGCACTGTTTCTGCAGTTGTGTCCAGCCTAAGCCAGGGACTAAGTGATTGTGAAGAAGTACTCCCACTCGTAGTCCTCATATTCGAGCAAAAACTTTGACTCTTGACTGCAGTGTCAGTGTTTTAAGTACTTAGCACTGTGGATTTCACTGTCTGTTGGGCTTTCTTCACATTTTCATCAAGGAAAATACACAACTGCATAGAATGTGTCAGAGTCTTAAACTTATTAAAGCTTTCAATGCATTACACAGCACATGCTTTCCTTTCTTTTCAAGGTCTCTGTGGTATATTATTCTCTAGTAACATCCTGGTTAGTTTAAAGAGTGAACTGGGATACGGTCACTACTATATCTGAAAATATAGATGAGCATGTGGAGGTGGTCCATAAAATGCTATTTTCACAAGTAAGAAGTGGTTTTCTTAATTTCCCAAAGCTCCAACTTTTATGTGTATCACATTTATAACAGGTTAGGGTTTTTTTAATAGATTTCACTTAAGCCAGATGCAGACTGACCAAATGAACTATATAAAATCCCCTATCCAAACTGAGTTTCTGTATATCTCACCTACTGATAAAAGTGTATGGATAACAACAAGATGTTTCTCCCGTTTCTCCTCCCTCACTGTTTTACCGCAGAGTTCCTATCTGGAATAGGGTTTTAGACTGAATTTTCACTTACACTTCCTTCTGGTTCTAATACTTGCATCTAACCAGTCTCACAAATTAGTTACTACGGCGTGCTGACTGACTACTTTCTGGATTGATACTGATTGTACCCAGATGGTTTCCATGTTGTCAGTCTAAATGCTAGGATGCTTTTCAGCTAGAATGTCAGTGGAAATCATAGTCTCAGTGCACATTAGTTTCCTCACTGTGTGGTTTTAATTAAAATAATTTCATCAGGTTGTTCTTGGACAGAGTTCCTCTTAAGCCTAACGGTATCCCCCCAGTAGGGTGGGTTGTTTATCTGCAGGACACTCCTGCATTGTAACATTGAAGTTATGTTGCTGACCAAAAGCCAGTTCTGAGTAACCATAGGTATGATTAACATAATAGCATTAACATACGCCTTTGGAGAAGATAGATATTATGCTGAATATGGTAACCCATATGAATACCTTTGAGAAAAGATCAGGACATTGTTTCTAGATGACTGTGGTGGCTAAGCGGTAATGCTGTGCATGCTGGGATTTGCTGGTATTTTTCAGCCTTTTTTTGTGGGGCTGGGGGGAGTGTCTAATATGATCTAGCTATGGGGTCGTTTAGGTTTTGTGTTTGCATCTCTCTAACCATTGATTTAAGTCCTAGCCTTAATGTTTTTGTTTCTATATAGAATTAATTACCTTTTTGCTGGAGGCTTCTATCCAGTTGGTTTCCATGTCATCAATATAATACTGCATTGTACTATCTCAGTGTTGATGGTTGATGTGTTCTCGATATTATTGGGTGGACTGCAATTCAGTAATAAAGGAAGAAGGCTAAACCTGGCTCCAAAGACATCTCTTCTAGCTGCTTTGCTGTTTGCTGTACATCCAGTGCACACTGAATGTGTAAGTACTGAATAACTAGCTCCAACGATTTATATCTTAGAAGTTCTTGACCACCTTGACTAATTAATTCTGACATAGCCTTATACTCTACAGATTGCTTTTATATATTTTTAACGCTTCTCTTGGCACATGTCTTATGAGAACAATCAAATATTATGGTTAGTACTTCCAAAAGCTTGTAATTCCACAGGGCTGGACCTTATTAAGGAAGATAAATTAAATCATTTAAGTACAATAACTAAAGAAGGATAGCCCTAAACTACAGAGTTTCCCTAATTACTGGATTAAGAATTCATTACTAGAAACATTATCTCATGAGCAGCCAAGGAGAATGGAAGATAAACTGAATGTAAACACATAACCACTTTTCATTTCCATTTGCTTTGATAAAAAAACAAGGAGATAGAAAATTGGAGTAGGGGCATTATATGAACTCTGTATGTGACTGGATTAGAATACTGCATCCAGTTTTGAATCCATGCTATGGGGAGAAATGGAGGGGGCTCAGAAGAGCCATGAAAATGATTTAAGGACTGGAAATCATCCTGCGTCATGAGAGATCAAATTCTATGGGTTTATATTTTAAATATGAAGGAGAAGATTAAAGGATGTTGTTTTTTATCACAGTCTGTAATTACGTACATGGGGAACACAAATTTCATAGTAGTGGGCCCTTTAATAGTGCAGACAAAAGCATAACAGCAGCTGGAAGTTGAAGCTGTAAAGATGCAGAATGGAAACATGGCATATGTGTAGCAGCCAATTAAAATACCTGACCAAAGATCAAAGTCCTTGTGTGGAAATTCTAGTGAAGAGGAGATGGTTTTCTTAGAAAGCTCTTTTGCACTCATAACTAACAAAATCTTATGGCCTTATGCCAGTGGGCTTGCTGGATGTGATCCCTGATGGCTTGATCTTGTAATAATGAATAAATGAAATATAAAATAATTACAATGCAGGGATAATTTTTTTTTTTAGAGTTTCAAAGGACTGAGCTACTGAAGAAGTGCTAACTTTAACTTTGATCTTCGTGCTAGTTTGAACACTGAATCCTCAGTGCACTTTGTTCTATATATGTGGCACTGATACTTATTTATTCACAGTATGCTATGGTTTGGGCTTTTTTCATTTGCTTTGCACGTGATTGATGGGGAAGAGGTTACGGAAAGCTATGCCTCCCTGTTGACTGGGGACCCTGCCTATATTGGAAACCTAGACACAGTGCAAAGTTAGGTATTAGTAATTTCACACCTTTTGGGGCAGTATGGCTAAAACATCCTGCCAGTCATTCTCTGGTGTTTGCTCACCTGCAGAATAACTTCTTTGTGAGAGCACATTGTGCTAGTGTCAGAAGGGCCCCTTGTATTTGTTCTCCAAAACCAGTTCTGGATGTCAAAGTGAAGTAAAACAAGTCCTCAGTGCTTTTGATGTTCTGACATGTAAAGAGAAATCTCACTTGAGTCTTAACTTTTTAATAGACCTACTATTGTCTCCTTTATCAATATCCATAATTTTATTCTTCATTCCATTTGACTCTAAAAATATATTTAAATCAGCAGGCAAATGTTAATAAGACCTTGGTCATGTCAAATAAATTACAAGTGATGTGGTCTGTGAGGTTTGAAGACTTGCATATGCTTTGGGCAAACATTGGAAGAAGAGGAAAAAAGTAGCATGGTTACATACCATGTCTCTTCTAAGATCCAGGAGTGAACAAAGGCCTCTAATCATTTACACAGTGAATAATAAATCTTGCTGCACTGAAGCAGTCACGATACTGCTGTGCTTCTAGCATGAGTCTGTGTCAGGCAGCATCTCCTCGAAAAACATTCCTCATGGTTTTAAAGCTGTGAGTTTTAAGTATCATGACATACTGGTTTTGAAATAAGATGACATATTTTGACATAAAATTGTGAAGAATCTGTCTGCTGCTTTGGATTTTGGTATATACAGCACAAAACAAACTGTCATGTAAAACAGATCTTGAAAAGTTTAATGCTTTCAGTACCTATGTAAGAAAAACATCTGTCATTATAATTTTTCTACCTACAAGTAAACACTCTTGTGGTGTAGTTCTCTTCTCTAAAAAAAATGCTTATTTTTTGTAACACTTGAGTGGTGAAATACTAAATGAAATGCAGACATAAGAATATACCTGATACTAATTTAAAACTATTTTTTTGTTTACCTTGTTACCAGACACTATAGGCCTGATCCTGCATTTGAGGTAACATTGTACTGTTGGAGTCATCTGAGGCTATATGTGTGTTATTAGCCCTTTAATCTCTTTGTTGTAACAAGTTGGCATCTGTTTTCAAAATTGTGTCAGTTCACCTTTACTTTTATCTCATTAGCTGAGAGCAGCTCCCGAAACAGAATGACACTTCGTTATTTTCACCTTTCAAAGTACTCCACAGCTATCGAGTTAATTCTCGTAATTCCTTTATAAGATAGAAGAAGAAGCAGGAAAGTTAGATGCCTGGCTTTGGATAAATCAAGAAGTTTTTCTGAACCGAATTTTGGAGTCCAACAGTTTCTCCTTTTACAGTGCTTGAGTGAAGCTGAGGGGGTAAAGTGGGAGGGAGTCTCTTCAGTAGATTCAGTCCTACTCTCGTGCCTCTACACTTCTCTTTCTCTCTCTAATGTTCTTTAGAAATAGTTGTTCCATCATGTCAGACTGACACAAAAAAATGCCCTTTTCCTAACAGAGGGTTAGCAGGTGCCTTTAAACAAAATGAAGATGCAATTTATCTCTTTACTTTCCTCTTTCTGTTCCACTCACAAAATGGGACAACTGGTGTACTACACAGGAACCAAAGTTTCTGCTTTTGTCCCTGAAACATCACTTCAAAAAGTGGATTAAAAAAAAAAACCTGTAGCTCTTCTGCCCTGCTTCAGAAAGGCCTCTGTGTACACCTTCCCTGGAAACATGGAACCCAGCACTCCAGGAAGCAGAGGTAGACTGAAAAGTAAGGGGTGTTTCTATGATCCTTGCTCTGGGTGTATGTTGTAGTGAGGTGCCAACATCAGAGCCTATACAGTTCCCTGCCAACCCCCTGTGTCGTGATTTCAACGAAAAATTCATGGTGTATCCCAACACTTCTGTAATTGAGGAATGAAGATCCAAAAATATGTCATGCTGTGTCTCAGCAAGTTATTGTAAATACAGTTTAAGGGCTTGAACCAAAGCTTGTTGATGGCCCTGAGAATGCTCTTGATTTAAGTAGGTTGGCGCAAATCCAGAGTACAGAGGTCCCAGAATGCGCTTCTCGTTTTCTTTTGTGTTAGTACAGCTTCTGTTACAAGATGCATTTGGAGGTACCTCTAATAAAATCAATTAATATAACACAAGAAGCTGCTGGAGGGGTGGGGTTTTTTTTCCTGATTTTGCTGGCTGGAAACTATTTGTCCATTCTAAGTGTTCAGACTGAAATTTGAAGGCTGGCTTGTCTTCTGGAAGTGGACAGTCTTGATTTGCATTTCAGCAAAAAAGAGCTGCCAATTTTGTTGGATTTCAGGATGTTTGCTAAGCATTCTACTGAAAGGCAACCTGATCCAAAAAACAGACAGAATTGGGCAGAGTCTACATTTTATTCAGTGAGGTCCTTCTTCACTTCTTAAAACAGCAGTTTTTCATAAATTAAAGCCAAATCATTTACCTAGTTGATACTAAGCAATACCCAATCAAAAGTAGGATGCAGCTTAGAAAACTGGGTATCACTAATCCAGTAAACCAGGTTAAAAAAAAAGAAGTGATAGTGATACAGCGATATTCTTTGGCAAATTTCACTTTGTATATGTGTGTGTATCTTTATCTCAGGTTTTCTAAGAATAAAATCTGGTAATCTGAAACTTTTTTTCTCTTTTTTTTTTTTTTTTTGTTTTTTTAAGGTTGCTGGGATTGTTGGCAGAGCAGACCTACTGTGTGCCCTGTTCTTTTTGTTGTCATTCCTTGGCTACTGTAAAGCATTTAGAGAAAGTAAGCATTCTGATTGCCCCTTTCATTTTATATTGTGTATATTTTCTGCATTCATACATTTCAGTGAAGTATAGCAAAACTAAAAATGTCAGCTTGATGTGGTTTGAATTTATTAATGTTTATAACCTCATAAAATATTTTAAAAAACCCCAACCCCCAAAACCCCCAAAAAACCTGCTTTAGCTGGTTTTTGTTGTTAGACGAGCTGGAAGAGTTGCTGTCGCTAATTCCCGTTAAACACTAAGAATTTATTTTAAGAGAAGTCTGTTTTATAATAGGCTTATTTGTTAAATGTTTTATTGTTTAGAAGCGTAAAGAAATATTTTAATAAGTATTTTAGAAATCAAACCTATAAATGTATATTCTTAAATATTTTAGTACACTTTATGCCCTGATGTTGGGATGGCTTAAATGGAAGCGAACTTTAGGAACCTTACTTGTATTTTTAATGAATTGTAAAGAATTATTCATATGAGTAAGGCCTCTAAATTCCTGCAATATGCAAGTGCTGGCATATACATTCTGAATATAGTGTTACTCATAGAGTTTTTGTAAGAGAGCTGTATTTAACATGAACATTTCCTTTCGTAGATGTTTTTTCAAGTGAGCTTTTAGATCTGTTGTATTATTTGATCTGAATGCAGGTCGGCAGTTCAAATACAGTTCTGGAGAAATTATCTTGGGGCTCTGTTAAAGAAACACACAAGAATACATGAATTCATGATTATGAAAAACTATACAGGACATGCAGTCTGGTATCTGAATGTGCCCCACCACAGGAAATATGGGAATCATTTGGTGAACTCATGAGGAGGTGTGTTGTGAAGAGCTTGTACAATATCAGTTCAATAGGCATGGCTTGTAATGTTTAACTGGAGTTGGGAGTGTATTACAGAGGTAAATACACCTGAGCTGGCTTTAGGTGATCTAGCTTAACAACATAGTCATGGCATCATAGAGCTTAGCCTAGGCTGAGAGGGGTAAGTTAGTCCACAGTGAGCTCTAAGATGCTGTGAATAGCTCCTGCTAATTGAGTTTAGATTGTTTAGAACTATTTTGCATATTTCTACAACTAATATAATAAGTTTAACTTAATCTTTGCCACTTAAAATGATACTTATGGTGATTCCTGTTCACTTATGATATTTCTCCTCTCCTTTGAGTAGGTTTCATTTCTTTCAACTGAACTAATAATTTCTTGATGAAAATTGGCCTTGGGATCTTGCTTGCTCATTTATTCTTTCCTCACCTTTTTTACTGGGTATGATTGTGCTTTGATGTTTCTTCTGTTAGTGCCAGAGTAAATTAGATAAACCAAAATATTGGCTCTGTGCTTTCTAGTTTATTGATACAGGCAGGGGTAATGATCTTTGCTTGAAGAACTCCAGAGCCAAATTCTTAGGATGACCATTGGAGACTTTTATGTAGGACTCTATAATTTTATAATTTTGTTATAGAGGACATCTCAGGGATGATTAAGAATGTGATGTGTACTCTGTTTAGGGATATTCTGAGTGCTTGTACAACTTGCAAAGGCCAGTTGATAGCTTTTAGAAGTCGGTGTCATTTTAATAATATTCTTGTACTGAAACTCTCATCATTGATACAGAGCAAGGAAAACGTTGTGAAGACAAGATACAAAGTAGCACTTGGTATTTTTTATTGGGCATTACATCATAATAGGGTCAGAGCTGTGTCTCTTAAGCAGATTTGCCAAGGAAAACTATAGCCTGCCAGCATAGTTGTGCCTTTTGTCTTTCAGATCAGTTTTCAGTCTTTACTGTCACCTTCACTGCCTGCTTTTCCCTCAGTGACTTATTAAAGAAATGTAGACTTTCTTTGTACTCAAGAATTTGTATCCAAGTTACATACTTGAGTCTCTCCCAACAGTTTCCTCAAAATGGGTAGCTTGGTGACAATTTCAGGTTCTTGCAGATCCTATCTGGCACGTCCTGAAACGAGAGATTGAAAAGTTATTTCCAGCACTGTGGAGAGCAGTAGTACGTTCTTTAGCAGATCTTGCATGGAGCCTGAAGGGAGGAGCTCAAGCTTCAGAGTATTTCTTTCCTCTGAACCTTAGATGATCTGCTGCAGGCTGATGAGCAATGTGCCAAACCCCAGACATTTCAGAGTCAAGGTTTCAGGTCAGAATGGTTCTGGTCTGAAACATGATTTTGAAATGCCTAGGTGAGATTCATTGCTCCTCCTGGATGTGCCTTGCTGTGAAAATCACTCATTTGTAAATGGAAAGGTGGGTGAGATAGGATAAAATAGACTACTACAGTTGGAAGGGACTTACAAGGATCATCTAGTCCAACTGCCTGACCAATTCAGGGCTGACCAGAAGTTAAAGCATGTTGTAAGGGCATTGTCCAAATGTCTCTTAAACACTGACAGGCTTGGGGCATTGACCACCCCTCTAGGAAGCCTGTTCCAGTGTTTGATCACCCTCTTGGTAAAGAAATGCTTCCTAATGTCCAGTCTGAATTTCCTCTGATGCAGCTTTGAACCACTCCCATGCATCCTATCACTGGGTACCAGGGAAAAGAGATTAGCACTTCCCTCTCCACGTCCCTGCCTCAGGAAGCTCTAGAGAGCAATGAGGTCGCCCCTCAGCCTTCTTTTCCCCAAACTAGACAAGCCTATGAGGTCCTTAGCTGCTCCTCATAGGAGTTCCTTCCAGCCCTTTCACCAGCTTTGTTGCCCTCCTCTGAATGCATTCAGGGACCTTAACATCCTTCTTAAATTGTGGGGCCCAGAAGTGCACACAGTGCTCCCGGTGAGGCCGCACCAATGCGGAATACAGTGGGATAATCACCTCTTTTGACTGGCTGGTCATACTGTGTGTGATGCCCCCCAGGATGGGGTTTGCCCTCCTGGCTGCCAGGGCACACAGCTGACCCACCCTGACCCTGCTGTCGACCAGCACCCCCAGATCCCTTTCTGCAGGGCGGCTCGCCAGCCACTCTTTTCCCAATTCATGCTTGTGCCTGGCATTACTCCATCCTAGGTGCAGAATTGGACGTTTCGACTTGCTAAATTTCATCCCATTAATCATAGCCCAATGCTCCAATCTATCTAGTTCCCTCTGCAAGGCTCCAGTCCCTCAAGAGAGTCAACAGCACCTCCCAGTTTGGTATCATCAGTAAGCTTCTAATGGTCCATTCAACTCCTGCATCCACGTCATTGATAAAGATATTGAACAGCACTGGCCCTAGAATTGAGCCCTGAGGTGCTGGTGACCGGTCGCCAGCCAGATGTAGCCCCATTCACTACAACCCTTTGAAATGCCCTTCAGCCAGTTCTTCACCCAGCACACTGTGAACCTGCTCATCCCACAGTTGGACAACTTGTCTGGAGGGATGCTGTGAGGGACAGTATCAAAAGCCTTACTAAAATCGAGAAAAACTACATCCACCACCTTCCCTTCATCAGCTAGGGGGGTGACCTTATCGTGTAAGGATATCAAATTAGTTAAACAGGACTTGCCCTTTATGAATCCATGCTGACTGTGCCTGATGACTGCACTATTCTTTCAATAGTACTCAGTATAATCTTCTCCATAATTTTTCCAGGAACTGAGGTTAGACTAACAGGTCTGTAGTTCCCTGGGTTGTCCCTCAGATCATTTTTGTAGATTGGAATAACACTGGCTAGCTTCCAGTCAGCAGGGACCTCCCTAGACTCCCAAGACCTTTGGCAGATGATCGAGAGGGGTCCTGCAATAACATCTGCTAACTCCTTCAGTACTCTGGGATGAATCCCAGGTTGTCTCTACCACCAGTATCCCTACGAACTTGACCTCCAGCCTCATAAGCCAGCTGCGTTTTGCCTTAGGTATGTGGTATTCTCAGGCTTTATTGGCTGAACCTTCAGGAGATTTGGCTACTTTGTGACCTTAAGTATCTAACTTGGGCATGCAACTTAAAAGCCTTTTCTCCCTGCTCCTTCTGTGTAGTCACTGGTAAGACGCAGACTTCTTTTGATGGCCGGTCAGAGGAATAGCTTATTTTAGGCACTTGCAATCATCTTCTAGAGGTACCAAAATCTCTCAGTTGTGTAGAAGCTTAGGAAGACTAGGCTTGTAACTTAGGGTGCATTTCCATTGTCATTTCAATTAGGCAGAAGTGCAAGTGGCTGCTAAAATGAAGCAATCTAGCCTCCTTTTACCGTAGATCATAGAGCAAATTAGGTCAGAAGGAGACTCTGGAGGTCATCGTTAGTCCAACAGTTTAAAGCAGAGTTAACTTCATAGATCACATTGCTTGGGGCCTTAGCTGGGTGAGTTGCAAAAATCTTCAAGGATGGCAGGGAAGTGACACATGACCAGTTCGCCTCAGCCTCTTTTCCTATGTTATATTCTTCAGCCTCCTAACCATCTTAGTGGTTCTTTACTGGACTTCAGGTTATTGATGTGTTTCTTGTATTGGACACCACGTTGAACACAGCACTCCTGATGTGGCCTCATAAGAGCTGAGTAGAGAGGAACAACCGCTTTCTCTGACCTGCTGGGTATGCTGTAGCTAGTACAGCCCAGCGTGCATTTAACCTTCATTGCTGCAAAGTCACACTACTGACTCATCTTCAACTTGTCAGCCAGGAACTCCAGATCCTTTTCTGCAGAGCTGCTGCCTAAGCAGCCCCCAGCCTGGACTGTTGCATGGTGCTGTCTTTGATTTTCACAAGGCTTCTGCCAGCCCATTCCTCCAGCTTGTCATGGTCCCTCCAAACGGCAGTCCTGTTCTCCACTGTACCCAATTATCCTCTAGCCAAACCCCACCACAACCAGTTTTGCTTCTGCCCTTGCTATAATTTTTTTCCTTTGGGAGGGGAGGTTGGTCCAACCCATCAGGCAGCTGTTTGAACATCAGTGTCTGTATAGGAAAGGGTAATGTCTGTATTGGAAAAGGCAGCTACAAAGAGAACGGAGGCTCCTCTCTGCACAAGGAGCCACATGGAGAAGACAAGGGGCAATGGGTACAAGTTGCACTGGGAGAGGT